TGAAGCTGAATCAGGGCCCTGGGGGCCAATAAAGACTTCTTGGGGCAATTGCTGGCAGGCCCCAGATGCCTCTGCGTGTTGTCGTATGTCAGGGCCAGGAGGGACTTGGGGGAGGCAGTGGGGAGGTGGGCACTTCAGACCCAGTGGTCCCATGGCCCAGCCTCCACCCTCAATGATTGCTGGGCGTCTGCAGGTCCATCTTCCCCTCCCGGCCTCACTGAGCTGCTCACCCTCATTCCTGGAATTCCTAGTGTTGCCCAAGAGGCCCCAACCTCCATCCTCGAGGGGGAGGGTTTTCTAGCCAAGCCGCTCTGGGTTGCACTGGACTCACACCTGAATCAAGTCATCCGGAGCAGAAGAGAGTCTTTGTGAGCTTCAGGAACTGAAATGTCCAGGGGTACGGTCTGACTTCAGGCACGGCTGGATCCAGGTGCTTCAGTATTCAGCTATGTGGCTCTCCATCTCTGGGTCCTTTTAACTCCAGTGGGTTCAGGCACGGCTGGATCCAGGTGCTTCTGTATTCAGCTATGTGGCTCTCCATCTCTGGGTCCTTTTAACTCCAGTGGGTAGTTCCCTCGGGCAGGAGTGGCTCCAGGGCTTCTAGCTGACACCCCCTATCCAGTTCAGCAAGCCCAGCCAGAAGGAAGGGACTTCTCATTCCTTTCTGCCAGGGTCACAGGGGTTATCTTCATTTGCCAGTCACTTGAGCTGAGGGACCTGGGCCTACTCATCATTCTCCTTTCCGTCCACCACCACTGGTGCCCACCAGATTGAAGGAAGCTGGAGGACACACACAGTGCCAGGACCACACTGCCTGGGGGGCTGGATCAGGGCCCTCTCGCCCTCCAGGCTCCTCCAGAGCTGGACAGGTAGGGCAGGGCAGGGTCCCCGGGGCTAATTCTGTCTGGTCCCAGGAAAATGAGGGCCCTCATCCTCTTAGGAGGACTCTGCCAGGCGGATTACCCCACACCTGCCCTCGCTGGTGGCCTGTTCTGGGCAGGCGGATCGTCCCAACCCTCCCATGGTTTCCCGTGGCTCTCGGTAAAAACAGAAGTTGTAATGGCCACGGGCCTCCTCACTGTTCATCCAACGTGCCAAGCATGGTGCTGCCCCTGGGCCCTCTGCCTGCGCCGCTCTTCCCCCGGATGTTCTCAAGGCTCCCTCTTTCACCTCCAGGCCTTTGCTCTGATGTTGCCTTCTCATTGACGCCTCCTCTGACTACCCTATTAAATTGCAACCCTGCCACACATTCCTGATCGCCCTTCCTGGTTTTATTTTTCTCCCAAGCACTTACCACCAGCAGGTGTTTCATGTTCTACTTATTTTTAAAATCGTAGTTCTTGTCTCTCTCCCACTGGAGTGGCAGCTCCACTAGGGCAGAGGCCTTTCTCTGCTTTGTTCAGTCGTGTCCTTATCGTAAGTTGGATGGGTGGACGGATGACTGGATGGATGGCTGGCCTGGCTGCTGCAGTGTAGACAGCACACAGGCCATCGGGTTCACCTGAGGTTGGAGGTTGGAGGTGAGCAGGCCAGCTGAGAGCCCCAGTGGGCAGGCGATCTGGGTGTGAGGACCTAGAAGTGAAATTCCTGGAAAGTCCTGGTACCTGTAGTAGCTTCCTGGACAGAGCCTGGAGCGACTGGGGTGCTGCCCCCGACCAGAACACGGCACTCTCCTGTTCTGACCCTGGCTGCCCCATCCCTTAAGGAGGTGCCCTGTCATGTGGGCCCTGGGCCAGCCCCAGGCAGCAGTGACATCCCATTCCTTGCCAGCTCCCCCCTCCCCCCAACCTGGAGTGCAGCTCAGCCCCGGGAAGGGTGGCCATGATGCCTTCGTGAGCAGGACCAACACCCCCCCATCCGAGCAGGTGGAGCCCCAGGACGGTCCTTGGAGGCTCCCAGGGGGCGGTGTTTTCCACCAAGTCAGGCCTCGGCTGTGGCGCATCTCAGGTGGGGTCAGCAGGGACGTGGTCAAGGACAGACTCTGGGCTGCAGGTGACAAATGTCTGCTCAAACTGACTTAAGCAGAAGAGGGAATCCACTGGCTCAAAGTGCAAAGTGTGGGCGGGGATGGGGTCCTGGGGAGGCTCCCCTTGCGGCTTGGGTTCCTCTGTGCTGAGCAGCCTCACTCTTCTGAGCAGATCCGTTTGCCCAGCGGCTCGTACTCTCCCAGTTCCAAGTCCCGGGAGAAACAGAATTTCTTTTCCCAAATGGTTTCAACAAAAAGTCGTGGGCCTGACAGCACCCGTGTCCCCTGCAACGGCAGGCAGATTCTTAACCACTGCGCCACCAGGGAAGCCCTGTGTGGTCAGTTTTTGACAAGACTTACCTGATCTTACAGGTGTCACACACCCCGCCCCCGCCAAGGCTCAGAACCCGTGTTCTAGATGGTGTGGATGGAGATGTTACCTGTTGCTCTGTGCAGTCATGGCCCCCAGCCCCATGTGGCCAGGACAGCTGAGGAGCGCAACATGTAATTTGTTGTCACCAGTTTGAACTTCCCAGCCACATGTGGCTGGTGGGGGGTCCCGGTGGACTGTTCCAGAAATCCGAGCTGGCCCCTCTGCTCCAGCCGGTCTCGCTGCCTCTTCTCTGACTGGGAAACTCCCAACTTGTCACCAGGCATCGTTGCCTCCGGTCACCTCTAGCTCCCTTGCTCTGCAAACCCAATGCATCCCGAGCTTGGCCAGTCCTAGGGCTTCTGTAGCAGCTGTTCATTCCCCTTGAGGGGACAGTGGGGACAAAGCCCAAGCGGCTGGAATGAGCTGGGGATGAAAGAAGAGATGGTGGAAGCTGAGGCCATGTGGCCAGGGGCGGCCTCGGCAAGACAGGAAAACTTGTCTTCAGGCTAATGTACCCCAAAGTCACCCTGGGACCTGTGGAAGTGTCACCTCACGGGGCAGAGGAGACTTTGCAGGTGGGGTTAAGGCCCCTGAGACAGGGATGACCCTGGATTCCCCGAGGAGCCCAGTGTCATCACAGGGTCCTTATAAGAGGGAGGCGGGAGGGTCACAGATAGAGAGACGGGAGATGATGCGCTGCTGGCTGTGAGGATGCAGGAGGGGCCCCGAGCCAGGGATGCGGCGCCTCTAGAAGCTGAAGGCGGGAACCAATGCTCCCCTGGAGGCTCCGGAAGGACCCGCCCTGCCCACACCTGTGAGACCCACACGGTAGGGGTGAGGAGGGGGTCCAGGCAGCTGGGGAGGGACCCTGCTCCCCCTGGGCAAGGCAGACCCTCTGCTGCCTGCAAAAAACAGTCTGGGGTGCCTGGGCAGGTGAGGGGCCAGGGTTCTCCCAGCTCCCGTGCCCTGGCCTTGGGTCGGAAGAAAAGCCAGCAATGACCACCCGACCAGGGGTGGCGGGGCAGCTGAAAAGGGGACCGGTGTGGCCGATGTCCTAGCACCGCCCTCCCCAGCCACCTGTCAGCACTGGCCCGGGCCTACAGGGTCAGCTCAGCCACACCCTCTCCCTTGCCCCTGCGCCGGGCCGCGAGGAGCCCCTGCTGAGCTCCCAGCGCGGACCCCACTGACAGGTCCTCATCTCTCCCAGGAAGGACGTGGGCGCCCCTGGCATCAGTCCCGCCCCCACCCGCAGAGTCGGCAGGGGCCTCCAAGGGAGCTGCGGGGACTGCGCTGAAGGTACCCAAGTGTGCTGGCTTTCAGGAAGCCTCCACACCCAGCTCTCACGCCAACACTGCCGGGGCCCAAGTGTCAGGAGGCCCCACTTGGGGCCATGGGAAGCCCACCCTGCCTGGGAGAGGCCAGGGGTCTACCATCCCCTCCCATCCCCCAACCCAGGGCAGGATGATGAACTTCAGCACAGGCAGGCTCCCAGCGCTGCGACACAAAACCTGGGATTCTGATAAACCAAGGCCCCAGACCACGCTGGCCCGACACGCTTTATTCAACACCACCCACAGGAGCCTCTGTGGAGGGGCCTTCCTGGGGCCCGTGATGGCCTGGCCCCCGGCAGTGTCACTGCGGCCTCCGCAGTGCAGCGGCCGCAGTCCTCAGGGCTTTGTGCTTTGACTGGACTAGGAAGGATGCAGTCAGCCCAACCTCTTGGGCCAGAGTCCTTGGAGGGAGTGGGCAGCGAGTCCCAGCCCCGAGGGGCTCCCACTGCCACTGTCACCCCGCCGGGCAGGCCACGGCAGCCCACGGTGTCTGGCCCGATGAGGCAGCGACCCAGGCTCCCCCGCCCCCCCCGACAGTAACGGCCGCGCGTGTGGCAGGGCTGGGACAGGACTGGCGGGCCCTGGGGCTGCACCGGCCCGGGGTTCGTGTCTCCAGGCGATGGAGGGGCTGGGGGCCACCCCAAGGGCATTCCTGGGGCTGAGGGAAGGGGGCTGGCCCGGGGTCCACTCAGGGTAGCAGAAGCTCCCCTGGCCAGGGGCACTTGCTGCAGGGGGGGACAGCATGACTCTGACCGCCTCCAAACCCCATGCTCCACAGAGGCCGCTGCCCAGGACTGGCCAGGAAACGCGCCTGGGATGGGGATGCAGAAGCCCCAGGTGATGGGAGGCCCCACACCTGCCAAATCAGCGCCACTGTCCCTGTTCTATGAGGTGAGACCGAGGCCTGGAGGTCAGCTGATGGCGGCGCTGGCCTGGAGCCTGGCCCGAGTCCGGCCGTGAGCAGTTAGTTCTCTGTCCGCGGCGCTGACCATCAGGCTGGGCCGGGGCTGCAGACAGTGAGGTCTTCAGGCGCTGAGGCCTGAGTTCCCATCCGTGTGCAACAGACAGAAGGTTAAGCAGCTACGTGGACATCGGCCTCACCTCTACCATGAGTTTTACTGAAGGAAAATGTCCGGGTTGTGCCATTTGCTCTTGGGAGCGCTGTGCCCGCCGGGTGGGCCCCGGGGAGCCATCCTGCATCCCCTTCTGGAAGGGCTGATGGGCGGTCCGGGATACCGTCCCTCATGTGTGCAGGTCGGGAGGGGAGACAGTTCCACAAATGTTTCTCCAGCCCCGCGGGGAGCCTCGCAGGCGGCCCACCGCGGGGAGCCTCGCAGGCGGCCCAGTGGCAGCTGTCCTGTGCGAGAGGTCCAGGGCAGCAGCCACGGGGACCAGGCTGGCCCGAGTTCAGTGTGGAGCCATGACCCCGAGGAGGGGCAGACATGGGGGGTCCATCAGGTGAGAGGCCGTGCTTCAGCCATGTCCCCGTGGCCCAGGGGAGGGGACACGCCTGGGCAGGGTGAGGGCCGAGTCTGCAGGTGGCCCCGTGCGGGAGGGCAGGCGGGTGGGGCCCGTGCAGGGACAGAGAGGGCACCATCCGTGCCTGGCAGGCCGTCCTCCTTGAAGACAGGTGCTCTCGGGAGGCACTGCTGCCACTGGCACAAGGCAGGCCCCAGGGACCCGGACCACCCCTCACCCGTGGTCGCTGCCCGCGCGAGCTGGAGCTGGGACCCGGCCAGTGCCTGCTCTACACGTGCTCCATCTCCTGGTCCTGGTCGGGACTCTCCTCCTGGTCCCCGTCGTCCTCATCCCCGTCAGCGCCCGCCCTGCCCAGCGGCGCCTCGCCGTCCCGGGCCAGCTCCTCCACGTGAGCCAGCATGTCGGCCATCAGCGCCTCCTCCAGCCGCTTGCGGACCTGCTGCACCAGTTCCTCCTGCCTCCTGCGGACACAGGAAGACCTGCTGGCCAGGGCACGTCCATCTCTGGGGAGACGGGGGCGCTGCAAGCGCCCCGTCCAGACAGACGCCCCCGCTCCCGCCCCCAGCACAGCCCCCAGGCCCTCCCCAAATCAGCGCTGCTGAGAGGGCAGCTGCCGGCCCGGGCCAAGGACCCCTGTCCCCTCCCTGCCGCCTCTAAGGTGCCCCCCTCAGCACGTGGACCTGACTCTGTGCCTGTCGCTCCCCTCCACCGGCCACGAGTCCCTCCTCCGGCCACGAGTCCCTCCTCCCAGCAGGACCACAGCCACTGCCACTGCTGGACCTGACACCTACGGTTCCCACCTCACTGACTTTCTATTTCTGCAAGTTGTGCTTTAAAGATTTGCTTGGACTTTTCAGACAGTCATGCTCTTTTCCTGCCCTTTCCCTAGGGATGAGCCCTGTGCATACACGTATGTGAACATGCACACGTGTATGTGTTCATGTATGTATACATGCATATGTGTACGTGTTTGTGCATACGTGCAGTGTATGTACACACGTGTGTACCTCTATGTGTGTGTACACATGTGTGTGGTCTCACCGCCGTGTCCTCGCCTCTCTCGGGGCACAGGGCTGCCCTCTTGCACCCACCTGGCTTTTACCTGCAGTGCCAAGACTGCCCCCCACAGCACTCCAGGTGCAGCTGCTCTGCCTTCCAGCCCCTCCGCCTTCTCCCAACCTCAGCTGTGCACTGATGTTTCAAAGCTGAACACCACGCATGTTCTACCCTCTCAGCACCTCTAGATGTTTCCTGCCCAGGAGCCACTTCCAACCACCTTCCAGGAGGCCCTCCCAAACAGCTCTACCCGCACCTGGACACCACCCACAGGGTCCTGGCCAAGCACAGGCCCAGCATCCAGGGCCCGGGACGCGCTCTGCTTCCCCTCAGCCCACCCTGCCCGGTCCTGCATGTGCCAGCGCCCCCTGACCCAGGGCCTCACAGCCCACGTGCAGTCCTGCTCAGGGGAGCCATCGCAGGGCCAAGAGCCCTGTCCTCTCCCGCCCCTGCAGGCTGCCCCACCCCCCAGGCGCCCGCCTGTCTGAACCGAGCCCTCCCCCAGCCACTTCCACGTCACACCTGGATACTGGCGTGGGGGGGGGGTGGGACGCTACCTGATGTCCTCATCGGTCACCATGAAGGCCTTGCAGAGCGGCTGGGCTGTGTTGAGCCACACCCCGGGGTTCTTCTCCACGGCGGCTGAGAGCTGCCCGGTGATGGGCATGGTGCTGGTGTGCAGGGCGCTGGCAATGGCCGAGAGCAGCGTCTCATCCGTGCAGCCGGGACCCACGCCTGCCGGGCAAGGGAGGGTGGTCGCTGCGGGCACCAGCCTTGCCCCCTCAGCCCCGATTTCATTCTGAACCTCCCTTTACAGCAGGCCCTGCCCGGTCCTGCGTGTGCCAGGGCCTCACAGCCCACGGGCAGTCCCACTCAGGGGAGCCGTCGCAGGGCCAGGAGCCCTGTCCCCCAGGCATCTTCCTGTCTGAATCGAGCCCTCCCTGGCCATTTCCATGTCACACCCGGACGCTGGAAGGGGGCGGTCACTCCACGACATACAGGGAGACAACTACCCTCTCAGGGACAGCAGGGATGCTTTTATGGCGCGGCAGGGAAACCAGACCCCCGAGTGTTTTCAGGACCCCGTGACCAGACGCGGCCCCAGCGTCAGGTGCAGCCCGGCTGGCCCCAGGTTGGGGGAGCACGGGCCTCATCCCTCCTCCATCTCCCCCTTGCCCCCTGCAGGGGGTCACCTTGCAAGCCCTTGGGGAGGTCCATGGTCTTCACGAGCTCCTCCGCGATGTCAAAGGCATTCAGGCCGCTCAGCTTCTTCTCCCAGAAGAGCTGCCGCCACACAGACAGACGTCAGGCCGACAGGACGGCCAGGCCACCTGCTCCCACAGCAGGCGACCCTAGGCGGCCAGGATGGGGGTCTCAGTGTGACCTCTGACCCCCACACTTGCTGGGGCTGCTCGCGCCCCGGGGTCCTCACAGGGCAGAGAAACCCCAAGCCCTGCTTCTGGCAGGACGAAGACCCAGGACGTCAGATGCGCCATCGGACAGTCTGTGGCTCCCCTTCACCCTGGAGTTGGGGGTTGGGAGGTCCAACCTCCACCCCGGGCTGAGCCATGGGCCCAGGGCAACAGCCCCGGCCGACCCCTGTCACAGCCCGAACAAGCGCTGTCCGTGGGCACCGCCTGGTGCAGACAGGGGACCCAGGAGCCCCCGGACGGGCAACAAGCTCACACCCTCAACTGCACCTCCAGACTCTGGGGAGGGGGGCGACAGGCAGCCCCACAGGTTTCTGACCTCTTACCTAGAGGGCTCCAACCCAAATGGAACAGCACCCAGGGCGGCTGCCCATGGCGGGGCCCATGCCCTGCAGGGTCCCTGAGCGTCTCCCCCTCTGACGGCCATGGCCCCCTGCTCTGGCCTAGCACCTCCACACCCCGCTATCTACCGGGCGTTTGTAAAGATGCGTGAAAACGCGGCTAAGGCTCAGTTTTTGGAAAACAGATCACAAAACTGCATTTGCGGGATCTTTTCAATCTGTTCAAGACAGCAGCCGGACCGAGGAGGCCCCGCATACGCGTGTCGGGTGCTGGTGCCCGCAGGACCGTGCCCCAGGGTGACGGCTCCTGACCGCGGCACTGGGGCCCCGGGCCCGCGGACTCAGCTCTAAAGAGTGGACCAAGTGCTGGAGCTCACCTGCCGGGGCTGCTCCACGGCCTTCTGGGGGTCGCTCTTCACCTTGTTGCTGGGGTGGTTGGTGATCTTGGTCACTGGCTGCTTGAAGATGGACGCCGTCTGCCTGACCGGGAGGGCCGTGTTCAGGTCGGGCTTGCCCTGCAGGGTCGGGCAGGGTCCTCAGCGGGCTTTCCCCGTCAGCGAGAAAGCCGTGCCCCACAAGGGGCTTCGGGGAACAGGCCCCAGTCACCAACACACCCCGTGGCACCCACGGATCCAGAGGCAACGCCAAGCCCAGGCCCAGCCGCTTCGCTGCCCTCGGTGCGGCCGCAGCGGGGACTCCGTACACACACCTGCTCTCTCTCATCCCCCCACCCCGCCCTTCTCACCTCCCGCGCCTCGTTCTCCGCAGAGAATGGGACTGGGGGCGCCCTGGCCACCTCTGTTCTGCAGTCGGGGCAGGGAACAAAGTCCCCCGAACATGCGTCCATCAAAGACCCACAGACACACTGGTCACCAGGCGCCCAAGTGTGGACCAGAGTTGAGCCGCCTCCCAGGCCCCGTGCCCGAGCCTCTCCTGGGGACAGATGATGGGCGGTTTCCTGTCTTCTTTCTGCTTTTCCACAGCTGCTGAGCTCCCCACAGTGAGTACCTAGGCCTCTAACTCCAGGACGGTGGGTGAGCCCTACCCAGCAGCGGTCAGCGTGGGCTCACCTTGACCTGGCTCGGGGAGTCATAGCGCACCCGCTGCCGGCTCTTGTTCATCTTGCCCATCAGCATCTTGCCCGTGCGGAAGTCGAAGGTGCTCAGGTCCATGGAGCCGCCCAGGTAGCGCGCCAGCTGGGGCTTGCTCCGGAACTTCTTCCCGCTCGGGCTGCAGACACAGTGCGGTCAGCGGAGGGGGGAGCCGGGAGGGGGGCGCCAGGCCAAGCCGGTCCACCCTCTCCCCAGCGCAGCAGATGCTGAGGCCGAGAGCAGGGATGGACGCCCCGACCTTCGGAAGGATGGGGCCCAGCCCTGGGAGCCTGGCTGGAGTTTCTGGAACATTCCAGAAGCAGAATCTGGCCATGTTCTCGAGAAAAGACCCAAGGATAGCAGGTCCATTACAGCATTATGGACCTGTCCTGGGGGGGCTGGGCTGTAAAACCTCAGTTTTGGGGCTCTTTGGGCACCAAAGAGCTGCCCAGGCGAGACCTGCTGGGAAAGCCTGAAACCTGGCTGTGAAGCTCTGCCATCCTGCTCACCCCACGGACCAGCTCAGCGGACTCGCCTTTCTAGGAAAAGCTAACGCCAACCTCTAGCTGCAGTGCAGACTCAGAGCTCATGCTACAGGTGACCAGAACGGGACCCAGTGAGCACTAATAATGACACGTCCCTGGGCACGGGGACTCCTGCAGCCACTTTGGGAAACAGTCTGGTAGCTCCTCTAATGGTTAAACAGCAATTCCACCCCTAAGTATCCAAGAGAAATCAAAACACATGTCGACATAATAACTTACACCTAATTACTCACAGCAGCATGACTCACTGGGCAGAGTGAAAACAGCCCAGATGTCCCTCCACACATGGGAGCATCACTCAGCCACAAAAAGGAGAGAAGCCCTGACACTCGCTACAACGTGGACAGACCTTGAGAACATGATGCTCAGTGAGAGAAGCCAGACACAGAAGGACACACAGTGTGTGATTCCACTGATGGGAAACGTCCAGAACAGGCAAATCCAGAGACAGAGAGTGGGTTCCTGGCTGTCAGGGACTGGGGCTTCTCTTTGGGGTTATGGAATGTTCTGGAATTAGTGGTGATGGTTGCACAGCCCTGAATGTACTAGAAACCAGTGAGCGGCACACATGATCCTCCAGCAGGCCTGGCACCCGTCTAGGACGTCCCCGTCACTCTCCATCTGAGGCTAACGAGGGCCTGCACGTTGCTGATCTCCCCTGAGAGCCTCTAGGCTGAGCCTGAATTCAAGCCAGCACACGCCCGCCCCCTCCAGGTGTCCCTGGGCACTGCGGACAAGTGGCAAAAGTGTGAAGAGTGGAACCCCTTCCAGCCCCACCAGGGCCTCACCTGGGTCAGGGCCAGCCCCACCACCTTGGGTTCTGAGACCCCCGTGGACTCTTCTGGAAGATCCATTTTTCCGTTATGCTCTGTGCTGGCTGACGTGAACAGGGTCCACGTGCCTGGAGCAGCGGAAAGGACCCTGAGTCCAGACTCTGGCTCCAACTATGGCCACAAAGAGGGCCAGGACCCTGACAAGCACTCGCCAGCACTTCTTGGCCTCCAGTCACCCCACCTGCTGCTGTTCTGCTTTAAAAAATGCATGAGGACAGGGAAACAGAAACGCAGAACTGTAGACTAGGGGCTGGGGAGCAGGGCTAAGGGCAGAGATAGTTAAAGGTCTAGGGCTCTTCTCGGGGGAGGAAAAGGCTCTAACTTTGACCGTGGTGGTGGGTGCTGCTACCTGTGAATTGTACGCTTTACACGGGTGAACAGTATGGCATGTGACTCCTACCTCAATGAAGCTGTCACAAAAGTGAACGCAAGACAGAGAGTGGATGGGGGCTACGAGGAGCTGGGGAGCTAATGGACACAGGGCTCATTTTGGGGTGATGAGAACGTTCCGGAACTAGAGAGTGGTGATGGGTGCATGAAAACTGCTGAACTGGACACTTTTAAAGACTGAATCGTATGGAATGTGAACTATATCTCAATTTTAAAAACAGGTTTTGCAGATCTGTATTGGGACAGAAAAATGAGCTGTTTTATCCAATAAAAGAAAAAAACTCCTGCAGTAAAACCACAGGTGTAGAACAAAAATGAGCACTGTGGTCTTTCTAGGGAAACAGGCCTACCCGGTGGAGTAGACAGGTAGCCAGAAGCCTGGTGGCCCTCGGCTGAGTCGGTAGGACCCTGAAGCATTGGGGCCGTCATGGGGATGGAGCCAGCACCAAGCACGGAGCCCAGGGCCTGGGCCGGATGCAGGGCTGTACTAGCCGTGATGAGTGAGTGTTGACCCCAGGCCTATAAGGAGGCTTGTAACCCGAGATGCCCAGTGAGGCCCAAACAGCAAGATGAAGCTGGTTCTGGCCAAGCTGAGCCCGCTGCCCAAGGAAGGGGGGTCAACCTGCCGAGCACTTCCTGCTTTCCTGAGTATTTGCACCTTTAAAATGACCTCTGGGGTCTTCCCTGGTGGCGCAGTGATTAAGAGTCTGCCTGCCAATGCAGGGGACACGGGCTCGAGCCCTGGTCCGGGAAGATCCCACATGCCACGGAGCAACTAAGCCCATGCACCACAACTACAGAGCCTGCGCTGTAGAGCCCACGAGCCACAACTACTGGGCCCGCGTGCCACAACTACTGAAGCCCACACACCTACAGCCCATGCTCCACAACGAGAAGCCAATGCAATGAGAAGCCCACACACAGCAACGAAGAGTAGCCCCGCTCGACGCAACTAAAGAAACCCCGCGTGCAGCAACGAAGACCCAATGCAGCCAAAAATAAATAAATAAATAAATTTATTTATTTAAAAAAAAAAAAAAAGAGCTCTGGGACTTCCCTGGTGGTCCAGTGGTTTAAGCCTCCACGCTCCCAAGGCAGGAGGCGTGAGTTCTATCCCTTGTCAGGGAACTAGGATCCTGCATGCTGCAATGATGCAGCCAAAAAAAAAAAAAAAGCTCTGGAAAGTCCTCTCTATTCCACACACCCCAAAGAATGACGCTAACTTCCAAGTCCTCAACTTCTTGCCTGGATTGTAAATGTCAGGCAGGGAGATGATTTTTCCAAAGAAAATGCTCGGCTGTAACCAGATGCTCCACCGCCATCTCCCAGTCCTGAGGGCCAGGTCACCAAGCTGGAGGGGTGTGTGGGTGAGTCCTACAGAACTGTCTGTGAGGTCGCTCCACCTCTCCTGCAAAGAACACACTGGCTCTCTCCCACTCTCTGGACTAGCAAACCAAGGTTCCACATCCCTAGGGGCAGGGCTAAGATCCAAGGACAGGTCTGTCCGACTCAACAGCACCGGAGATCTGCTTTCCCTCTGCATTAAGGAACCAGGAAGGGACTTCCCTAGTGGTCCAGCGGTTAAGACTCCGCGCTCCGGGCTTCCCTGGTGGCGCAGTGGTTGAGAGTCCGCCTGACGATGCAGGGGACGCAGGTTCGTGCCCCGGTCCGGGAAGATCCCACATGCCGCGGAGCGGCTAGGCCCGTGAGCCATGGCCGCTGAGCCTGTGCGTCCGGAGCCTGTGCTCCGCAACGGGAGAGGCCACAACAGTGAGAAGCCCGCGCACCGGGGAAAAAAAAAAAAAACTCCGCGCTCCCAATGCAGGGGGTCCAGGTTCAATCCCTGCTCAGGGAACTAGATACTTATCCCTCAAGTAAAAGATCCCACATGCCACAACTACAGATCGCGCAAGCAGCAACGAAGATTCCATGTGCCGCAACTAAGACCTGGCTCAGCCAAATAAATAAATATTAAAAAAAAAAAAAAAAAAAAGAGAGAGAACCAGGGAAATCCATCTGTGCTCCCTGCCTAGACACCTGGCTCAGCATCAGGTGGTGAGAAGGCCAAGGGCCCACATTCCAGAAAAGATATCACATCCCCCCCAGACCTCCGACCTGCTGGGACAGGGTAGGTCATCCACACCAGAGACCTGGGAGTGGCACTGGACCCCGCACCCTGCATCCTGTCTCAGGCCCTCACCTCTCATTGGAGCCGTGGGAAAACTGAAATTCCATCTGTCCAGCCCCAGTTTGGAGCTGTTCCCTACCACCAGACCCCTATGCTCGGGGGCGGGGCCTTGGAGCGGGGTCCCACTTGATGGAAGCCCGGAGAGGTTCCCAGGCAGGTGGGGACAAGAGGTGAGGCGATGACAGGCTGCGGCTCTCTAGCCACGCTGGCCCCGGTTCAGCTCCTGAGCCTCCTCACAGGCTGCTGGCGCTGCCTGGACCCTCCTCCTGGCCCCACTGCCAGGGCTCACCTCTGTGCTGCCTCCCCAGACAAGCCCTCACTGACCCGCACCCAGCTCGACCAGGCACTCCCATCAATCTGCCCCTCACAGACCCCCACATCTCTCTGCATATGTCATCACCTGTTAACTATGAAAGCAACGGGGTGATGGCTGGGGCACCAGCTGTCACCCACGAGGGGAGGGCCCAGGTCTCACTCCCAGCTGAATGGCCAGGACACCCAGCATGTGCTGCAGAGGCATCTGTTAAATTAACAAAGGACTAGAGGAACAGAGACCTGCCTCATTCTTCAGACCTAAAAGGAAGAAGTGAGAACACAAGTGCGCTCAGAATTAAATGAGGGGCGGTGGTGAGAGGCCTCTTCACGCACCCAGAAGGAAGCTTCTCTAAACAGCCAACGGGGGAGTGACGTCACAGACAGCCGCAGTGAGGGGGAATACACACGTTTCCCTAAAAGATGATCGTAACCCCACTACTTCATGCTTGACATTACGAGAGGGGCAGCCAATTACAGTACACACTGGAGGGCCACCAGCACTCTTTGGACACTAGAACCTGAGCTTGTCCTGGATGAGCTGCCATCCTTACCCTGCTCACTTCCTTCACTCCTCCCAAAGCGAGGACAGCAAAGGCCCAGGACCTGCTGCACACCCCCCAACACCTGGCAGGCATTCAACACGTGGCAGGTGTCCCGCCTGCTTTTCTTTTGTCAGGGTCCTAAAGCAAAGGGGAGGGAGCCATCAAGCCTGGCTCAGAAACAAAAGCATCTTCCACCAATCAAGAGGAAAAAAAAAAAAAAAAGGAAGGAAAAGGCAAACAGCAGGTGGTTGACGGTCTGAGGCTGGGCTTCCAGCCGCCTACTGATTCTGTTTCACTGGGGGTGGGGGGGTCCCTGCCACCTTTCTCGGGCCAAGGGCAGCCCTCCCTCCAGTTTGGGTGAGGGAAGCTCACAAAGGCCGCGTCCCCGGTCTGGCGACTGGAGAGGCCACTACCCACGGTGCCCAAGGATGGGGGAGGGGCGGCTCTTAAAAGACACGCAGCTCCAGGACCAGGCCACCCTGTGAAGGGCCCAGAAACCTGCATCTCTAGGCAGCCCTCCCTGGTCCCCCAGAGGGAACCCTGCTCCCTGAAACCCGGGATCCCCACCCGACCCAGACTGCGCGCGGCCCCAGGAGCGCCCCACGAGAACCAAAGGGACAGCCCAGCCCCCACCCCCGCCTCCCAGCGGCATCTGGCCCGTGCCGGGGTGCCCCTTGCCCAGCCGGCCGCTTCGCCGCGGCCGCCGAACAAAGGCCGCCGCCAACCCGGGGCCGGTCCCAGGACCATGCGGCAGCGGGGGGAGCGCAAGCACACTGAGCGAAGGCTTCGCCGGGCACGCACGCGCACTGGGCTCGGGCCCGCCGGGCACGCACGCGCACTGGGCCAAGCGCCCGCCGCGCGCCGGCACGCACGCACGCATGCACGCACAACGCACGCGCGGGGCCCAGGCCGCGGCCCGGGTCGGGGCGCCCAGGCCGCCGCAGAGGCCGCTGGGAGACGCCCGTTGGGGCCCTGCCCGGCCGGCACGTTCATTCACCTATAGTAAAAGACATCCCTGTGGCCGGCCGACAGCCCCGACCTTCTGGGCACTTCTTCCCTCTCCCAGCCCTGCGGGAGCGCCGGGCACTCCCACCTCTTCCGCTCCATCGCGCCCGGCTCCTCGACCCGCCGCCGCCGCTGCCGCCCGGACCCCCGCTCGCCGCCGCCGCCTCAGCTGCCTCCACCGCTGCCGCCGCCACTTGCCGCGGCTGTTCCGGCCCGTGGGCCTCCGCCCTCCGCCCCAAGCCGGGCGCGCGCCGGCTTTGCCGCCCTTTCGGCCCCCTCCCCGCGCTCGCCAGCCCCCGCTCGGGGGGCCCGCTCCGCCCACCCGCCCGCGCGCGGGGGCCCCGTGCTGCGCAGGCGCCGCACAGGTCCCGCCCCGCCCGTGGCCTCCGGCCCCGCCCCTCGGCGGCGGCGCCAATCAGCGCGCGGCCTGAAGGTGGGGCCTGCGGCGGCGCGCGGCTCGTCCGCTCCGCGCCTGCGCCCTGGCCCGCCCGCAAGTGGTTGGTGGCCCCTGCTTGCCGCTGCGCTGTCCGCCTTGGTCTCTCCCGCGTCTCCTCCGAGGCCTGTGTCCCGGGATGCCCGTTCAGTGCCGGACCGCCATCCCGCCGCTTCCCTGGTCTCGTCACTGGCATCCGCGTTTAGGGTCATTGTCGGTGACCACCCACCTCCACACCCCAAGGCCCACCCGACGCTTTAATGACATCTCAGAATCGGCCCCCTTTTCCTGCCTCCTCCTTAGTCCAGCCGCTTTCTGTCTCCTGGGGCTCCAGGCCCTTACTTGGGAATCTCCCGCCCCACCTTGTGTCCCCTCTCCCTCCCCCAGGCCCTCTCCTGCCTGCCCTGTTCCCCCAGGGCAGAGCCTGGCCGGCCCAGGTCAAGTACTTAAGAAAAGACTGCTGAGTGAGTGGCCTTAGCTGTGGGCAGTGCCAGGTGCGGGCTGGGCCTCCCGACGGGCCTGTCCTGGCGTCGGGTCCCTGGGGGAGGGGGAGGCTGCGGGTGGGAAGGCCCTGGGCTCCCCCGAGGGCAGCAGGCCTGGGCCGCGCACCTGGAGCTCCCTGCAGGTGTCTTCGCAGCCTTGGGGCCCCCCAGGTCCCTGCTCTAGTTGGAGGCGGGGCTTGGGCGGGACGCCGAAGACCATGGCCCGCAGGTGTCACTTGTTTGTTTATATTAAGTCCCCGGGTAAGTGTAACTTCTCAATTCCTTAACGTCCCTTTCCCTCCTGCGTTCCCCAAGGGGTAGCTGGGCTGCTCTCCCACAGACAAAGGGCATAGTGGCCGGGAGGCACCCTGATCGGCGAGCGGTCACCCCATTACAAAGCTGGTTCGGGGCACTGTATGCCTGTGTGCAGGTCAGGCCCAAACCCAGTGCTCCAGGACCTGGCCTTCCACAGAGAGCAGTACTGGTCGCTGTTGTGTTTTCTCCCAGTGTGTGCGATTTCGTTTTAATTTAAAAATCAAAGTTGCAAAGATAGACGCGTGCATTGTAATCAGTGAAAGCACGTGAAGACTCTTAAAGGAAAAAGTTGTCAGCCTTCCTGTGACAGGAGACCCCAGCACCACTCCAGCCCTGCTTTTACTTCTCTTGGGTGCACACCCAGAGCTGGAATCACTGGCGATCCTACATTTTAATTTTTTGTTTTTGTTCATTTTTTGAGAAGGGCAAAACATTAATATATTTCTTGTAACTTTTATACAGTTTTCAAAGTGTGCTTTCCATTTACAGTTATTACCAAATATTGGCAATATTGCTCATGTCCTACAGTACATCCCTGAGCCAATCTTACACCCAACAGTTTGTACCTCCCACCCCCAACCCCTATCTTGCCCCTCTCCCCCTCCACTGGTAACCACTAGTTTGTTCTCTATATCTGTGAGTCTGCTTCTTTTTTGTTGCTGTATTTTTTAGATTCCATAGATGACCAGGATCATACAGTATTTATCTTTGTCTGACTTATTTCACTTAGTGTAATACCTTCCAAATCCCTCCATGTTGATGCAAATGGAAAAATTTCCTTTTTTATAGGTAATATTCTATTATATATGTGTACCACATCTTTATCCATTCATCTGTTACTGGACACTTAGGTTGCTTCCGTGTCTTTGCTATTGTAAATAGTGCTGCTCTGAACACTGGGGTGCATGTACCTTTTTGAATTAGTGTTTTTGCTTCTTTTGGATATATACCCAGGAGTGGAATTGCTGGGTCATATGGTACTTCTATTTTTAGTTTTTGCAGAAACGTCCTTATCGTTCTCCATAGTGGCTGCACCAATTTACAGTCCCACCAACAGTGTAGGAGGGTTCCCTTTTCTCCACAACATTCTCACCAACATTTTTTATTTGTAGACTTTTAGATAATAGTCATTCTGACAGGTGTGAGGTGATACCTTATTGTGATTCTGATTGGCATTTTTCTGGTGATTAGTGATGCTGAGCATCTTTTCATATGCCTGTTGCCCTGTGTTTAATTTTTTGAGGAACTGCCAGACTGTTGTCCACTGTGGCTGCCCCATTTCCCATTCCCAGTAGCAGCGAACAAAGGCTCTGATTTCTCCACATCCTCCATTGTTATTTCCTGGGTTTTGACAGCCGTATACCCATGGACGTGTGGTGTTGGATTTGACCTCATGGTTGGATGATGGAAAAGCAACGCCTCCACCTCAAGAACCAGCCCCGCCGGTCTCACTTGCTTCTCAGGGAATCTGAACCCTTCGGGTCCAGGCTGACCCCAGAGCATAGACAGTGGGTCTCTGGGAGTTACTCGGCCCGAGCCAAGGACTGTCCTCAAGGGACTGGTCCAGAGGCCTGACCGGGAGGGTGGCTGTGACCCAGGGTGCTGGCGGCAGACGCAGAGACAAGAGGCCAGGAGGCCTGGATGGGAGGGACGGGGGCTGCCCAGCTCCTCTCCCGTTGGGCTGGGCGCTGCTCCTTTGAAATAAACTCTTTGCCCAGGCCTGCTGGCCCAGTCCCCAGTCAGACGCCTTCTCCTGCCCGTCTCCACAAGGCGAAAGATAGAAATTAAACCAGGAGGGGCCATGTGAGGACCTTGAAAAGACTTTTGGAGGCAGGGTCTCTCTGCCCTGCAACTGCTGCTATCGGGGCCAGTGCATTCTCTGTGGGGTCATCCTGGGCACTGCGGGGTGTGGAGCAGCATCCCTGGCCCCGCCCACTCATGCCGGGAGACCCCCCCCCCCAGTCGTGACAACCACAGATGTCCCCAGCCAAGCATTCCTGCAAGCTAATATGAGGCATTCATGGCACTTACCTTGGTCAGAAAATTTAGTGGGCGCCAAAAACTTCAAGATTAATGGCAGTTAATGCAATATTTTAACAATCCAAAATGAATGCAAACAATCCATGATGAACAAAATGTCAAAAAAATTTTAAATTTTATTGAAGTATAGTTGATTTACAATGTTGTGTTTAATTTCCGCTATACAGCAAAGTGACTCAGTCATACATTCATATTTTTTTCATGTTCTTTTCCATTATGGTTTATCACAGGATATTGAATGTATTTCCCTGTGCTATATAGTAGGAACTTGCTATTTATCCATTCTACATATAATAGTTTGCATCTGCTAATCCCAAACTCCCACTCCATCCCTCCCCACCCTTGGCAATCACAAGTTTTTTCCTCTGTGTCTGTTTTTCTTTTGTAGATATGTTCATTTGTGTTGTATTTTAGATTCCACATATAAGTGGTATCATATGGTGTTTTTCTTTCTCTTTCTGACTTACGTAGTATGACAGTCTCTAGTTGCATCCCTGTTGGCTGCAAATGGCATTATTCTTTTTGATGGCTGAGTAGTATTCCATTGTATATGTACCACAATTTCTTTACCCATTCATCTGTCGATGGACATTTATGTTGCTTCCATGTCTTGGCAATTGTATATAATGCTGCTATGAACATTGGGGTGCCTGTAACTTTTCAAATGATAGTTTTGCCTGGTATATGCCCAGGAGTGGGATTGCTGGATCATATGACAATTCTATTTTTTGTTTTTGTTTGGCCACACCATGCGGCTTGTGGGATCTTAGGTCCCCGACCAGGGATTGAACCGGGGCCCTCGGCAGTAAAAGCACGGAGTCCTAACCACTGGGCTGCCAGGAAGGTCCCTATTTTTAGTTTTTAAAGGAACCTCCATACTGTTCTCCATAGTGGCTGCACCAATTTACATTCACACCAACAGTGTAGGAGGGTTCCCTTTTCTCCACACCCTCTCCAGCATTTATTATTTGTAGACTTTTTAATGATGGCCATTCTGACTGGTGTGAGGTGGTAACTCACTGTGGTTTTGATTTTCATTTCTCTAATAATTAGCAATGTTAAGCATCTTTTGGTGTGCCTATTGGCCATCTTTGGAGAAATATCTATTTAGGTCTTCTGCCCATTTTTCGATTGGATTTTTTTTTTTGTTATTGAATTGTAGGAGCTATTTGTATACAAAATGTAAAAAATTTAAATACAGATTGAACAGTACTGTGCCATTTTAAAGTGAGACAAAATGAGGAAGATATGCGCTTTATACATTTTTAACGCAATATTTACTGAACACCAACCTAGTACAAGACGTAGGAAGATTTTTTTTTGGAAGATATTTTTATTTTATTTATTTAGTTATTTTTTAATTTAATTTAATTTAATTTTAATTTATTTTATATTTTGGCCGCTCAGCGTAGCATGTGGGATCTTAGTTCCCCGACCAGGGATCGAACCCACACGCCCTGCATTGGAAGCACAGAGTCTTAACCACTGGACCACCAGGGAAGTCCCCCTTTATACAATATGTTTTTATGTAGTTTTTTTTTTTTTTAATAAGTTTATTTATTTATTTATTTTTGGCTGCGTTGGGTCTTTGTTGCTTCGTGCGGGCTTTCTCTAGTTGCAGTGAGCAGGGGCTACTCTGTTGCAGTGCGTGGACTTCTCATTGCGGTGGCTTCTCTTGTTGCAGAGCACGGGCTCTAGGCACGCAGGCTTC